GCATCACTTAGTTGTATCCTTCCGTTGTTCAGATTATTTTTGGTTCTCATCATTTGTTTCATTTTTTTTACAGTACTTGATTTGAACTTACCAGTAGATGAGTTCGGTGCTGTTGATTTCGACTACATACAAAATCAAGCTGGTAACTTCTTTTCGTCACAATGTTTGTTTTTCTTCCTATAATTACAATATGCCGTGAATGCATTACCGCAACGTGCAAGCAGTTCATGAATGTGTTTCTTTTTATCTTAAAAATACAACATGCCGTGAATAAATATTGGACCATGCATGCCGTGTGAATAAGTACTGGACCATGCATGCCGTGAATGTAGGCAAACATGACATGTCCTTGGTTGTTTTCTTTTAACAGACCATGCTGTGGACAATCCAACCGTGGAAGAACAAGTTCAACCACACAGCCGAAGGAAAGAAATGAGTGAAGAGGTCCGAAAACAAGTTTACCAAGCTTTGTTGGCTAGAAGCAACAATGGTACACTACACAAGGAAGACACCGCGTTTGTTGCTGCTCAATTTGACATCCATAGACGGACAGCTCAACGTGTTTGGAACCGAGGTAAAACACAACTTTGTAGCAATGTACCGGTTGTGGTTTCTAGTCTAAAGAAGGGTAGAGTTGGACGTAAAGCAATACCTTTTGATTTGGAACATTGCGAAACATTCCTCTTAAGGAAAGAATGACTATAGAGGATGTGTGTGCCAAACTAAACATGAGCAAATGGAGGGTTCAAAATTATTTGAAAAAAGGATTGATTAGGCGCCACTCTAGTAGCATCAAACCATATCTCACTGAAGCTAACAAGAAGTCTAGGTTACAATGGTGTGTTGACATGGTTAATAGAGAGTTGCTTGATGATCCAAGGTTTAAGGAGTTGTATGACTTTGTGTTCATTGATGAGAAATGGTTCTACCTATATCAAACATCTGAAACATATTATTTGCTACCTGAAGAAGATGATCCCCATCGGACTTGTAAGAATAAGAACTACATCCCTAGGCTCATGTTCTTGTGTGTTTGTGCTCGGCCAAGGTTTAGGGATGGGAATTGTATTTTTGATGCTAGGATTGGTTGTTTTCCACTTGTTCAATATGAACCGGCTCAAAGAGGTAATGAGAGGACCGGCCGTGTCCGTGGAGACTTGGTTATGAAGCCCATAACTTCGATCACTAGAGAAGTGATTAGAGGTTTTATGATCAACCAAGTGTTGCCCGCCATTAGAGCTAAGTGGCCAAGAGAAGATGTGGGTAGACCAATATTCATTCAACAAGACAATGCACCTTCCCACTTGAAATTGGATGACCCAGAATTTTGTGAGGCAGCTAAGCTAGGAGGATTTGATATTCGCTTAATATGTCAGCCACCAAACTCTCCAGATTTCAACATTCTTGACTTGGGTTTTTTTCGAGCTATACAAGCAATTCAATATCAAAAGAATGCAAAGACAATGGAGGCTCTCATTCCAGCCGTGCAAGAGGTAATTTGCTCAACAATTGTTCACAACCGAATTAAACTTGCATTACAATTTATCCCACAACAATTTGCTAACCGAATTAAACTTGCATTACAATTGTAAGCATTCATGGAGTACTCACCACACCTTGCAAACCGAATGTTTCTAACACTACAAGGTGTTTTGATGGAAGCTATGAAGAAGAAAGGTTGCAACAACTTCAAGATACCTCACATGAAAAAAGGAGCATTGGAAAGACAAGGTCTGCTGCCATCTTGTATTCCTTGTGATCCATCTTTCCTAGTTGAAGCCGAGGATAGTCTTGCTGCATGAAAGAAGTAGATTGATGGTTACTCTTGCTGTAATGATCTTAATGAACTGTTGCTGTAATGAACTCAATTTTAATGATCTTACCGCTGCGCGGCTTTGGCGTCCTCCATAGCCTTCTTGGCAGCGAGCTTACGCTTGCGCCTCTCCTTAGCCTCCTCTTCGACCTTCTTGAGCACGTCTGCAGGCAGCACAATTTGCTCCATGCCGACTCCGAACACGACATTCTTGACATCTGGAATGAAAAACTCGCACTCGAAATAATCGAAGCCATGAACAATAGCGAAGAACAAGTAGTCTGCGTGCTTGAGACCGCAGCGAGAGCATGGATAGCGCCCAGTGTGCACACGATCCCATGCTTCGCGGTTAAGATGAATGACTTGACAGGTGCCGCAAATAAAAGCGCCCGGCGGCGAAGAATCCGGCACCACGATCTCCTCCGACTCCGGCGAGACGATCTCCTCCGACTCTGGCGAGATGAACTACTGCGACTCCGGCGCGACGAACTGCTGGGACTCCGGCACGACGAACTGCTGCGACTCCGGCGCGACGATCATCTCCTCCGACTCCGGCGAGATGAACTGCTGCGACTCCGGCGCGACGAACTGCTGGGACTCCGGCACGACGAACTGCTGCGACTCCGGCGCGACGATCATCTCCTCCGACTCCGGCGAGATGAACTGCTGCGACTCCGGCGCGACGAACTGCTGGGACTCCGGCACGACGAACTGCTGCGACTCCGGCGCGACGATCATCTCCTCCGACTCAGGAACGATCTCCTCCGAGTCCGCGGCCATGGAGTCCGCAACCTCCTCCATCATCTCCGAGTCCGCGGCCACGGAGTCCGGGGCGAACTGATCCGGCGTCGAGTCCGCCGCATCCATGGAACTGCTAGGGCGAGGGCGAGCCGTGTGCGGCGTGGAGCGAGGGCGAGCTGGTGTGCGGCGTGGAGAAGAAGAGCTAGCGGCGAGGGGCGAGCTGCGAGGAGCGACCGTGAGCTGGAATCGCGGCATGCGGCGGCGGCGTGCGCGATTAATAGCAGCATGCAGGAGGCGAAGCAATAGGCGCTGAGTCAAGGTTCCTGGAATCACGGCATGCAGCGGCGCATGCGCTATTAACGTGGACACGGGAGCCAAAGCAGAGGGGTACCGGCGTCCACTTTTCTCCCTCGAAGCCAAAACGACTTCTTTTGCTTGATTTCAAACTGAGCCCAGAACGACCTCCTTTAGCAGTATGGAGGGAGTATCAAATACACCATTGAGTATACCGGACCAAAAAGTACATACACATACATCAAGCAACCAGATCCGTTTTCCATGCTACTTATCTAGCTGCCTGCTCGTCACCTACTGCAGTCGCTAATGGGTTCGGTTTGTCTGGGTACTCACGACATAGAAACCAGCGTAATTTTTATACCTATTAATTAGCTTGCCGTGTTGCTGATGTGGCAGCCAATTTAATAAGTAGAGAAGAGAAAAAACTTAGAAACAACGTCTAACTTAGAAACGACGTCCACACACACGACGAGGCAGTCAAAATCATCGCATACAGCGTTGGGAAGGAGGGCTCCGTTTCCATCGAGCGACTGGGGATCCTGTGCGCACCACCGGTAGGAGCTCGCATAGCTAGTGAAGCAGAAGCACCGCTCGTGTGGCCGCCGCCGCGGACCTCGCACGGACACCAATCCCCGCCGCGACGTTGCACGGACGCGACCTCCCCGCCGTCTGCACCGCGCGGCCCTTGCTCCTCGTCGCCCCCAGCATCCCTTCCCGAGCACGCCCTGACCCTGCTGAGCGGATGCCGTTGAGCAAGATGTCGCCGAGCACGAAACCGCCAATCCGCATGGCCGCCGCCGAGCGGACCCCCCCGCCCCGATCACGGGAGCTCTGGCCATGGCTCGACGCCGCCTTCCCTGCCATGGCTCGACACCTGCCTACTCGTCACCTACTGCAGTCGCTAATGGGTTCGGTTTGTCTGGGTAGTCACGACATAGAAACCAGCGTAATTTTTATACCTATTAATTAGCTTGCCGTGTAGGCATTTTGATGATGTGGCAGCCAATTTAATAAGTAGAGAAGAGAAAAAACTTAGAAACAACGTCTAACTTAGAAACGACGTCGACACACGCGACGAGGCAGTCAAAATCATCGCATACAGCGTTGGGAAGGAGGGCTCCGTTTCCATCGGGCGACTGGGGATCCTGTGCGACACCCATCCCGGCGCCGTCGGCTTGCCAGGGCGTGGCCCCGCGCTGGCTTGCCGAGCCAGGAGAACTCCGACGCACGCAAAGCTCATCCTCGTCGCCGCCCATGGACGTGACTGACGGGGAGGTCGCTGGCTTCGGCTTCAGCGCTGGTGGACCTCGCGGCGTCGTCTCCTAAGGTTGCCGCCTGCGTTGCTTGCTTGCTTCCGCGTTGCTCGATTGATTAATCTCATCTGCGGTTTCTTGCTTGCTTGCTTGTGAGGACGCAGCCGCCGGTGCTGGCTTGGGGCTCGCGGAGCTTGCGCAGGCCGCCGTGGAGGTCACGAGGCTCGCCGTGGAGCTCATGTAGCCTCGCCGTGAAGATGGTCCGCCTCGCCATGGGGCTCGCGCAACCTTGCTGCAGAGCTTGCTAAGGCCGCCGCGGAGGTCGCGAGGCTCACTGCAGAGCTCGCACAGCCTCACCCGCGGAGCTCGGGCTGGCCGCCTCGCCTCGCCGCAGACCATGCGCACCAGCTTGCCGTTTCCCTTGCTCGCCGTGGAACACACACACTGTTCGCATAGGATCCGAAGTGATGGGGGAGTCTAGAGGTGAATGATTGGTCTTGAGTTTTTTCTGGACACTACTAGAAATACTACATTGGGTAATATAGTTTTATACATGGTGTCTTATGATATAGAAACTATTCGATAGTTTTTTTTATTGGAAGTGCCTTTAACCCGTTAACTGGTCGGACTCTCTACTCGTCACCTACTGAAGTCCCTAATAAGTTCGGTTTCTTAACCTACTAACTGGCCGGACTCTCTACTGTCTGCATACACCTAATGGGAGTAACTACTCCTGAGAGTATAAAAATGCACCCTAATACATATAAATCATGGTAATATTGCAATTTTGGAAAGGTGGGGTTGACCTTTATTGAAGCTAGTATAGTTGATAGGATAAATGCAAGATGCCATCCATCCTTGATCGTTCTCTTGCATCCATATGACCATTAGCGCAGCTATGAGATGACACATGCATTGGGGTTCTCAGCACTAAAGTACTGTGGCGTCGGTAGTTGTAGCTCCACCATGTCGTAATTGTAGTAGTGATACATCGGAGGTGCCAATGGCATGGGCGATGGTGGGGGAGGTGGAACCGGAGTCATGCACGGCATCATGGGCTTGGGATATGGGTGCACTATGGCCATCATCCTAGCCATTACCGCCTCCCCATCTGCCTTCTCTTCCTGTAGGTTGTAGTAGTATTTGTACGGGTTAGTCCAGTACATCATCGGCTTTATCATTTCTTCGTCCGCAAATCCATCCATGGGCACCACCTCTGTCTTCGGCTTCTTGTCATCTCTACCAACACTTATCTCTGACTTTGCAGTCTCTTCTTCCTTATTTCCTCCGCCAGTGTCATTTTTATCTTCAGAGTCTTCTATGGGTGGTTTCTCCTGAATCTCCTGTGATTCCATTAGCTTATTGATGCCATCCTCCTTTAACTCTTCCTCCTTTGCGGGCTCCAAAGGTAGGGGCAGGGGTGCGACAGTGGCGAGTTTGCCGGTGCGGCGATGTATGTACTGAATGAGACTATCAGTGGACATGGTTCCGGTAACGTTGAGCTTGCCTGTGTCATGGTTAGCTTCAACGCTCTGGACACCTCTCATCTTGAGTATCTTCTTATGCAGTTGTTGTGCGCATGCTTCACAATGCATGTTGATGAGGAGCTCCACTGTCGTCACCTCATTCACTTGTGAATGGACGATGACCGGCTCCTCCTTGGGTGAACCGGCTACATCTGCCTCCGTAGGAGGAGGAGGCGGTGGTGGGGATATAACTATGGCATTCCACATGGTCCTCTTGCGGAGGCGATCACAGATGTCATATGGATTTACAATCCCCTTTACTGTGACCAGGTTCTTCGCCATGTCCACCTCCACGCCTTCCACTCCTACATGCCAGCCAGTAAAAATCAGCTTTCTAGCATTTAGTTAGATCAGAACTTTCAAAGATTCTTTACTTAATTTTAATTAAATAATACAGTAACAATCTATCTTTAGTAACGATAAAAGTGATTTCTACAAATAAGCGTTACAACCGCCATTGTTTCTAAAAATTAAGACAGCCAGCCAACCGCCGCTAGAAATTTGATTTGTAGGGGCAGTTATAAACTAGACCGCCTTTACAAATTAATTAAGTTTTTCTAAAGAAATTGAGTGCATGCTAGTCCTTGTGCCAACCCCATTCGCCCATCGTGCCCCGTGGTGACCCTACTTGCCACGCACCCTTATTGCCAACCATTCCCTACGCTGTCCACACTTGTTGCCCACAAAAACACACACGGCAAGGTAGCCACGTTACGCCACTAGGGACGGGACTCTGTGCCTGCACATATGCTACTAGGGTTGCGTTGCAATGACCACCCGCCAGGGCCAACGTACGAGCGTCGAGGGCAGGGACGTAGTGCCTCTGTTCTAGTCCACACATGGTGCCCGCTAGACTAGCTCGCGGTGGTGGCGGAGATGTGGCCGACTTTCACCGTGTTTTTTTTTTGTCTACATGTGGAGATAAGGAAGAGAGGATGGTAGGTGCAAATAATGTTGAGAGAAAGAGGGAGAGGGGGAGAGAAAATGAGTGGAGGGGGAAAAGCCTAGAGGGGGAGGCGTGCGCAGCGAGTGAAAGGATAAGCTCTGACTATGGTGGCTCGTGACCTAAAATTTTGAAGTATAGTGCCATTGTACATGTGACTTTGTAGAAGAGGTTGGATGCTTTACTGCTTATGTAAATTGTATTCGTATATAGGCGATTGGTGGTCTCAACCATCTCTTAACGTTGGAAAGTCCATCTATACTTTTGAAGATTGATTTTCGCAGCCGTATCCAAAAAGAGGGACGCCTATAAAAATTGTTTCTGTAACAGTGGTTGCCTATAAAAAATGTTTCTTTAATAGTGATCGCGATCTATTTTGAAGCGCAGAACGGAAAGCGAAAAGTGATGAGTAGGAAAACGAAAATGATAGTTACCTTTGCATCTGAGGATGCATCCCGAGATCTTATTGGAGCAACCGGTGCAGTGAAGGTCGATGCCGAGGATGACAGGGGGTGGCAGCGGCGGGGGCTCGTTACTGGCAGCCTCCTCCTTGTTCTCGTCACCTCCTGGTGCAGCTGCCGCTTCCTGCTTCTCTGCTTCCAGTGCGGCTGCTGGTGCTTCTTCCTTCGTCTCATCGTTCACCTTGACCTCCTCCACCTGCACATCCAAAATTTATGCAATGAAGGGATCCATTGGCTGCAGACTTATAAGTTTGACAGATCGATCTAACAATCAGCCAAGTTCACTTAACGAATAATTTCAAATTAATTAGGCCATAGTATTAGCAGCATTTACCTTCTTAACTTCCTCTCCCATGGTGATTAAGCTGAACAATTGTGCACGGTGGGTATCACGAAGGCGCAGGAGGGAGATAATGAGTAGCTAATAATTTGTCCAATCAAGTGGCCATGAGATCTATCGAGCACGAAAATGCCTTGCCCTCAATCAGGAGAGTATGTGAGCAGTGGACAGGAGCTGCTCCTCTGTTCTACTAGGACTCACAAACGGTGGAGACAAATATATAGATAGCTTAGACGACCCTGCCTAGGCTGCAGCAATCAGTGTGCTCTTAATAAAATCGAGTCTCGCTGATTGCGAAGCACATGCATTCACGCATGCAGCTTGATGACCTGATCGAACCACCCACTGACTGAATACTCACCCCTTTGCAAAAGAGTACTGTATTTGTATAGATCCAAGCAAACTAAGCTTAATATTAGGACAACCTCCTCTACTGTTTCTCTTTTTTTTTATAGCACCAGAATTAATTAGCATGGTTCATTGTTCTAGAACATAACTGTCAAACTGAAGATCTCTCAGATTCTGACCTGTCAACCAGAGAACGTAACTAGAAGCCGTATGGCAAGGCAGTGCCACGAGTCCGTGCATGCTTATTCGACAAATTATGTCGCTTCTGGGAGCAAATTTCAGTCATGTTGAAGCTGCTGACCTATAGAATTACTGAATTACCAATTAAGGATAGCGCCTGAAAAAGGTCGATGGAAATGGTTCCTTTTCTCCACTTTTTCAAGGATTAGTAGTCGCCCAACGGTCCAAGATAACTTCTAGAAAGTACACCTGTAAAATGATCGGATTGTAATGCAAACCCAGTAAATGTCGTGAGAGTGAGAGACTTCAGCATGAAGTGAATGCCTAATATATATGTATACATATGTAAAGTGGACACCGACGCTACTTTTTTTCTGACCAGCGAGATACCTTCGTTATTTCTCTTTTAAATTCCTAAATAATTAAGACAACTGCTACGAAATAATTAAATGTTATCTAAGGCCCCGTTTGGTTTCCCATAACTAAAATTTAACTACTAAAACCAATAACTAAACTTTAGTCACTCATATTCGGTTCTAGTGACTAAAAGTGACTAAAGACCGTTAAAACAGTTCAATAAAGACCAAACTACCCCTAATGAATGTCCAAATCAAGGTGGGGGACCAACAATAATGAGGACAACCCTTGTCCACTGGGTACTTTAACCATTTTTAGCTACTCTTAGGTGACTAAGATGACTAAACTAGTTTTTTTTTAGTATTTTTTCTGGTAATTTAGTAGAAGTGACTAAATTTTAGTAAGGATAACCAACATGCCCTAAGAGAGCGAAAAGGTCGAGATGATATATCTCGGAAAAGGTGTCATCCATTGCATCCTGCATGAGAGAGAGAGAGATGGATGCAGCGTCACATGGGTATGTTGAGTGGGAGTTTGGAGTGTTTTGCTGGCCCTTTTCCTTTCATTTGTTCTTAACTGTTAAGAATCCACTTCACGATGACTCATCAACCTCGGCCTACCTGACACCGATTTGCTGGATAGTATAAGGTCTAGTTCTTTTCTTATGCAGTGTATGCAGGCTCCTTTTCATTGGGATCTCGGACGTCAGGTATTGCTTAGATTAATTAGTCAGGTGGGTGACGAGAATCAATATATCGATTTATGTATAAACCTATATTACTATATGGATCGGTACTCGTCGCCATCGTGTCAGCCTAGGCAGTGCACTGAACTACCACTTGCTTAGTGTGAGCTCCGCTGAATCAGCCTACTGTCCAAGATCTTCTCCGGTTGCAGTGCATGGCTTGGATCAGCAGACAACACTGTCACTACTACACAAAAACTTTTGCGCGGTGTTTGGCTTTGCAGCTCCAAGGCGGGCAGGTTAGTTGCCCGCCTCGGTTAATCATTAACGGAGGCGGGCCACATAACGCGTCCACCACGGTAAATCCACGATTAAGCGCCGTTAATGGATTAATCGAGGCGGGCACCGTAAGCCAACCGCCTCGGTTAATCGATTATTTTTGGAGGTGAGCGTCTTAAGATGTCCGTCTCGGTTAATGATTGTTGAAAGCATCTAGGCCTCTATTAGGTTTCGGTGATTAATGACAACATAAGATTATTGTGACTAACATGTGTTTTGTAGAGGCAATTTAAATTAGGTCACGATAATAGAGATTGTTTGGGCAATTGTTGGCGGTGGTTAACTCATAATGGTTAACTCATAATTTCACCCGCCAACTTTTACATAAAATCCATCCAAATGAAAACCAAACCTAGTAATACGGTTTTAAACTAATGATTTTCATAGGATTTGGTGAATTATGCATTTGCAAGAGACAAGTATGGAAATGCACTAAAAAGGGCCCAATAAAACCATAAAAGAAAACCATTTCTTCATTTGGACCAAAGCAAACAAAGGAAAAGAAGAGAAGGCCACCTACCTTTCACACCTAGGCCCCAAACCCACGAGAACACACTCCATGCCCATCCAGTGATCCACCAATGAAGGTGGTGGCGAGGCGGGCCAACCAGGATGCGGGCGCACCCATGGTGCGGCCGCACCCCTGTGGCTGCCGCCCGGGCCCAACTTTGTCATGGCGGTACATTGAATAGCGTAGAGGGCAGTGTGGGGTGTATCCGTGGAATATTCCCCCCAAACCGACCTGAGAAGGACTATAAAAGGAGGGGAGACCCCCCTCACTCAACACACTCAATCAAGCAAGAGAAGAAGAGCTACACTCCTACCTTAGCTTCTAGCTAGAAATAGAATAGGGAGTGAGTGAGAGAAGAGTTGGAGAAGTACCGAAGCTGTCGGCTACCTCCACTTGTGTACAAGGTGCCCCTTGTACACTTAGCGGAAGGAGTGCTGGAGTTGCCGGCTCCTCTACAATTGTACCTCAACAAACCAAGTACCACTTGGAGTATAAGGTTCATGTTCATCTTTGGTGGTGAGTTCTTATAAAAGTTATCTTTATTTACTACATACTTGCGGGTTTGTCGTTTGTTCTTGTGGCAAATACTCTAGTATGTTGCCGTTCGAGTACCAAGAGCATTTCTCGGGTAGCGAGAATCTTCTTCAAGCATCGAGTGCGGCGGTGGTATACTGTACATCAAGGAACGTTGCCCTCTGGCAGCTGTAAGTGCCTGGCTCGGGTGGTTCACCCCATATCGGGAAACGTAGTTTCCTGGGCATAGCCCTCAGGACGTTGTTAACGTCCCGTTCGGGTGGTGTACTCGATAACCAGAAGCGTAGCTTCCAGGACACCGTAGATGCCACGTTAGGGTAGAAATACCGTTGTACTCGAGAAGTTGGTTCCCAACGTATTCCGACGTGTAAATAGTGGTTGCGCATCATTAAGTCCTAGTCATCAAACAATAATGAGGATGGGGTAGGTGCACCTCCATCGCCCGCGCGTCACTAAGCCAGTTGATTTTTAGGGTGACCTGTTGTGGGTCGTTTGACCACTGAGGGTGTCACATTTTTCTTCGAGATCCATCAAGCGACATGCTATGAATTTTGTGAACCTCGTTAGTGGAAGAGTGAGGATGTTGTCCTAGAGCCCTGAGGCCAATATAACAGTGTCCCGGTGTAGGCACCACTGTGGGCGAGCAACGAACGCGTGAGCAGCCGTCGGTAGTTGCGTGTGTTACTCTTCGAGTTGATAATGGGTAGAACGAGTGAACGTCCACTTCACTGAAAGGAAGCGGCAGGACAAAGCTAGACCAGCAGGGGCACGTCATAAAACTCTTTTTCCATATTCTATGAGCTCGTACTTTGGTTACAGCCATGGGCCAACCAGTTTTCCATTTTCCCCCAAAGAGGCATACATCCGCTGAAATAAGGTACTTCGAGCTCGTCCGGGTATTGGGAGATTTACATGACACCGAGTGTCAGAGGTTTTAGAGTCATACTGGAGACCCTCCCGAATACCCCTTGACTCTAGAGGGGTAGGGTCGATAGCGAGTGAATCGCTACCGCTTACTCCTGCTGAAAGGGGTGAGCCAGGGCGAGTACCCGATCTGAGTGTCAGACCACTCGCCTGCATCGGCACGGATGAGGGTGTATTAAAGATGGACCGCCGGGATCCGAGGGTGAGTTTGCTTACCGGAAGCCAGAGCATCGGTGTTGACAGCTTATTTTCCCATGCACAAGCGTGTGTGGTTGGGATGCCATCCGTGCGCCGGTTCCTGCTTATATAAAGAAGGGGGAGGCATAAATGGGCATAATTTTATCTACGCACTGTTGAGCTTACATCCCTTTCTTTAATTCTTCATCTTCCTCTATCTCTATCCCCTTTGATCCAATCTGATGGAGAGAGTGGGGAGCTCGAGGACAGAGGTTGCCAGACGGGCGGCAGGCGAGCGCTATCTGCCCATCCGTCCCGCTTTCGTCGGGTAAGTCCCTAAACCGACCCAAATCAGGTGAACTTGGGGCTTTGTGCTTCTTCTCACTGGGTGTTCTTCCAGTCTTCCTGTGCTTGATGACGCGAGTCCTCCCGAATCATCGGGCGGTGTTGCGGCGGTGGAAGCCACAGCTCTGCCGACAGTCGCTATTGCTAGGGATGAAGCGAGCCATCTCCGAGCACAGTTGGAGGCCATACAAGAAGCGACGGCTAGGTCGTAGCGGGCAGACACACCTTCTTGGTAAGTTCCTGGTGAGATTCCCTGTTCACCCTTCTGGAGATATCTTGATTTGATGAACGGTTGCTCTAATTATGCTTCCCAGCCGTCCAAGAGCAACTGGCCGCTGCCCAAGGCAAGGTGGCGAGGCTTGATGATGCCAACGCCATTCTAACCAAGCAGGTGACGGAGGCGGAGCACGATCGTGACGCTGCTGCGGCTGACTCTTCTGCCACGGCGGTCAGGGCAGGTCAATTTTGGGACCGTCATGCTGCCTTGCTAGAGGCGTGTGGCTGTGTTATTGACGTGCTCTCGCCGGTGGGGGTGAGCGTAGAGGAGCGCCTCGGCAATGTCCCGAGGTGGTTTACTAGAGTAATTCCGCACGCGGTTCATCGTGGGGACGTGTT